AAAGAGTGGTCCAAAACCATCTCATAATCACCGATCGTGAGTGAAAATATTTGTATTTCCTGACTTGTTATTAGTGGTTGCTGGAGGTTGATGGCAAATGAAAATTGCTAAAGCCCCATGCACACAGGTCTGCAGACTGGTCAATGACCCCCCTGGCAGTCACCTGTTGCCAGCAAATAAATTGTATTCCTCTTCCTCTTTATTTATTCTGTCACTAGCATATTGCTGCAATTGTAATTTGAATGGATTCACATTCAGTTTCAGCTGTGAAGTTGCAGGCTTTTGCTCTTCCACTTGGAATTTAAAAATTTTGCAAAAATGTTGTGTTTCCATCCCACAGGTCCACAGCAAAGACAAGAAGTACGTCTGTAAAGTCTGCAGCCGAGTCTTCATGTCAGCAGCCAGTGTTGGAATCAAGCATGGCTCCCGCCGCCACGGCGTCTGCGCTGATTGCTCTGGCAGAGGCATGGCCGCACTCCTGGACCACAATGGTGAGGTGGGTGGCGATATCTCTCCGGAGGAGGAGTTGTATCCTGGCGACCGTTTCCACGATGACCAAGCAGAGTGTGATGGAGATGGAGAAGGGGAGGAGGAGATGATGGTCGAAGGGGACGGAGAGATGCTGGGAGAAGGGGAGGAAGACAGAGGGAAGTGGAAGGACTCAGGGATGACCGCTGAGACGCACGGAACGCTGGACAATGAGAAAGAGGAGAGTGACTCCTCGGCACAGGAGGGGGAACAGCAGAATGGGAGCGAGAAGGACTTTGCCTGGATCTCATAGAGTCTGTCCGGCTCCTGTTAGTGACCCATCGACCGATCTCTGAAGATCTTTTGTGATCTCTCAGGCAGAATCCTCTGCTCTCTTTACCCATTCGTCCCACTTGGGGCAGGCCTTCCTTTGAGTGGAAATGCTGTAGGGTGATGCGCGACAATGATCTAATACCATTACGAGTAACACTCAAATGCACACATACCGACATGCACACACTTTTACCACACACACACGCACACACACACGCACGCACGCTCTTCTCAACCTTGACTGCCATAGTAGAGGAAGAGATGGCTCAGTGCAAGGCTTTTTCTGCTTACCTCCTTTAATTCTGATGCAGTGTTTTTGTGTTATTTTTCTCGAGGGTTCAGGCCAGAGTCCAGTAGTTTTCTACTCTGTCAAAACAGGAATCAATGGCGGCGCTGCCAAGGACATGGCCAACGCCAGACTGCTATGTATGTTTGCCATCACAATCATCATGGAAATCAAGGATCACTGACAGTGTAGGGAAATAGCCAGGAGGAAGGCTGTCTTGGTCTTATAACTATGACTATAATGCTTCTGGGAAAAGTGTCTCCCTATGAGTGAAGGGGGGGTCTAAATCTATTGCAAAGCTACGTGTGTCAGAGGACCGGGCAGCCCAATGGCACATTGTTGAGTCCTACTGCCACAGACTTGCACTTTAATGACAACTGACTCCTATCAATACCCTGAACCCGTGGTTTACATTTTTGATCTGATCTTTACTTACCTAAACAACTCGGTGACCGCACCTACCTTTAAGGATATACTTTATGTCCTCTTGACTGTTATCACGAAATAGAAATCACTGAATCTTTGTGCAGATTGCTGTTTATATAGCCTATGCCTTTCAGTGGGGTCCTTAATCTTTTCTTCACTTAAGTTTACCGCCTGGTTTCTATTGATCCATTCCAAGAAATACTGGAGTTTTGAGAAATGTACATAAAGTTTTGTTTTTGTTTTGGGGTTGTTTTTTGGGGGGTGGGTGGAAATTTAAAAGGGGCTGTAGGCTGTGCGAGACAGAGAGAGACAGAGAGACCGAAAGATGCTTTTTAGCGTTTCAGCCGTCTTCACCCACAGAGTGGACATCAGTTTCTGCTTCCTGTTTTTAAAATCAATTCAAGCACACAGTGGATGCTCTACACTAATAACTCTTTCCTTCTCTCTCGCTTTCTCTGGTCCAGATTCTCTCACACTGGAGGTTGTGACGATAGGACCTGAGAGCTAAGTCTCTCACACTTAAGGAGGAGCTGCCTTTGTGTAAATTTTTTTTTTGGTTTGTTCGTTTGCCGTGTGCGCGTTTTAAGTGAGTCATGTAATTCCACTTGCTGGAATCAGAATATGCAGACTCTTTCCACGATTCTTTTGCTGATATGCTTTCTCTGGCTTTGCAAGGTTAAAAAAACAAGAAGAATTGCAGAATTGTGCTTGAAATTCAGAGTTTGCTCTTTGCAGAGAGTGTAATTTGACTTTGTTTTGTTTGACAGCTATTTATTGAGAAACCTGTTTGTTTATTTGTGGATTCCTAATTTTCAGAAGTCCTTCCCTTGCTCTCGCCCTCTCTGTACGTGTTGAGTGGAACAGGATGGCTGCTTGTATGCAAGGATGAGTGTCCAGTGGCCAAAAGATATTCTATATTCAGTTCTTAAGATTATTTCCATGTTTTGTTTTGTTTTTTGGTTTGTTTGTTTTCGGCAAAGTTGACAATTCAAGTGAGTCAGATGACATGTCTTATTATTATGAATATCAGAACTATGATTACTTGTCGTTGATGTTACTATTATTAATTATTATTAAGTGCTGGATGCTAAGCTTTATGGTGTGTTCTTTTTTTTTTTGGATATTTTATATCTTGTATAAGAAAAAAAAAGCTTTTATACTTTGCCTTGTTGTGGACAGCAAGCCATGGGGCTTTTATCAATCTTTTATTGTGCCAGTTTATGCTTTCTCTGTCGTATTTGCTTTTATTTTTATTTCTTCTTTTTTTTTTTTTTTTACCAGGGGGGAAAACACATTCACTGTCAAACATCTCTGTTAGATATTGATTGAAACATGTATTCAGCACATGCTTTTGCATCACTAATGTACACTAATTGATTAATATCGAACCAAAAACAATCTAGTAATTTGTATACATAAAGTGCTTTTGTTTCACGGTCTGTGTGTGCAGGTGCTTCTGGATTTATTGTTGTGGTAAACAGTTTTGTTGTTGGGTTGTTTTTATTTTTTTGAACCTGTCATTATTCGTCACAGTTTGGAAAAACAAAAAACAAAAAAGTGCACGTTATGGTATTATTGTGAATATGAAGGGCTGTGTGAAAGGACCAGCTAGCTTTTGAAGACCGCATCCTAAAACCAGGCTGATTCTTTTTCCTTTCTTTTTTCTGGCTACTGCTGTGTCTCACGCCTTTGATGACACGCAATCAAGTAGAAATGCAATGTGCAGACGAAACACGTCTATCGGACAGTAGAGCGTTGAGTCCACATGCTGTATTCCTATATGTCAGTGCTTTCCTGGCTTGACCCCAGTTCATTTACATAAAGGGAAAGAGTGCTGCAGTAGTAACTCTGGGAAACATTTTGTTGCCAGTGCTGGTCGCACACATTTGGCCTCTTCTGTAGGTGCCATGGACTGCACTTCCCATCAGCCCCTGCTGAGAGACTCTCAGTACAGTGAGATTTGTGATGCTTTCTTTATGTCTGACAGATATCTTTATTTTATTTGCATTATTTATTGTGCTTTTGTTTGACCCACTTATCAAACAGTTGTACTTTTCTGGGGTGAAAAAAAAAGAAGAAAGACAATGGGGTAGAATATGTTTATGAATGTCAATGGTGGGTGTGGAAGGAGCCCATAATCGGTGGCAAATCTCTGTCCTGTGGTGCTGTTTTGGCCCCTGAGAGGCATCTGGATGTATGTGTGACTCCCCCGGCCCCCGCGCTCTTCTCACGATCTGTACTGTACGTCTTCTTCCTCATTCTGGGTTGTACTTCAGGAAAACGTCTGCCATCAACCCCTCAATATGTGCCTCAATGACATTTCACCTGTGTGCTTGCAAGAGTGTTTGTTTCCAAGAGACGACTGAATATTTGTAACTCAATGGATAGAGATTATCGAGATGCGACCGATCAGATTAGAGGGCCGAAACGTTCGAGGATTTTGAAAACTTCAAAGAGACAAATCATGATGGGCGACCAGATTCTCCTTCCCACTGTGTGTTGATGACCTTTTGTGCCCTGATTCTGTGGTCTTAACTGCATGCCTATGTTCATTTTGTCATACCAAAGCGGCATCTTCGGCATCTGCACACAACTGTCTCATTCCACACGATGCAAAACTGGAATTTTTTGCTCTATTGCAGATGAATATGGGTATTCTTAGACATGTACAAATTGCAATCCTCATTTAGCCTGTATAGCTTGATTCACACGTGCAAATCATGAAGCCATAGATATGGGTATATCTATATTATACTATATTTCAAAATTGGCGCTTTTTACTTTAGATTTTGTTCTTCTACTAAGAGTGATGTGTGTATACCTTCATATATATAAATTTATATTACTATTATATATTATTTATTTTCTCCCTCAAGTTTCAGAGGGTCTCTGATTTGTAAAAGGTCGCACTTGAAGCTTGAGGTTTGTTTATTTTCATTGGGAATATTGTTCAATATGATGCTGACTTTATATTATCATAATCCTGTGTTTGTAACAAAATGTGCTAAATAATCAAAAAAAAAAACCTGTCCTGTTTTTACACCTGTTTTGTTTTGGGCAGATTTTAAGTGCTCTTGTGCTGATATTTTTTTGGTTGATAGTACTGATCACAAAACATTTTTACAGTCAACCATGAGCCTCCTGTTTTGATGTTGGGACAGGCCCGCCAGCCGTCCAAGCCTCTTTCTAATTCATGTTTAGTGGAAGAATTAGCTTGACTATTATTTGCAAAAACCAATCAGTCTCAATAAATTTTGAAATTGCTGCTGTAAAGAAGTGACCAGTGTGTGCTGTGCCTTTTGTTTTCATGAACACAGCTATGGTGCTGTCACACCACCTGTTGTCCACAAGGGGGAGGAATACACAAGTCAAAAGACAGCCGAGGTAGCAAAAGCAGAAGGAATGAATCCACTGTTGCCTTTGAAGCTTACACTTCGATAGTCATAGTCATCTTCATATAAACAAATGAACCCGATGACAAGGCTGCTTCCATTTAGGTTTTATTTTCCTTTCTGTCACATTACATCACAGAGATCACATTATCGACATCATACATGTTTCATCCATCTTTCCAAGCTCTCGTCATGAGCTTGACATTCACACAAATACTCCTTGAGTGCACCACTCCTCAGAAAGTGCTTCCTCCATGTGCGTGGGACTGCTGATGAGGACCAGAGGCCAAGCCCACACACAGGAGAAATCTTGCCCTCCAGTGAAGACCCAAGACTGACGTCAAGTTTCCCACAAAATGCTCTTAGCACTGTGTGTTTGTGTGTGTTATGGGTTGTAATGAGCATTTTTACATCTGGTGAAAAACAGACTACATCAGCCTTGGGTTATTGGATACTTGGAGGGGAAATCTAACACATAAAACCCTTCAGTGTTGTATCTCCTAACGAAAAAGAAAAAAAGGGGGGGAAATGAGCGATACTAGACATGCAAAATAACCTCAAACTCAACCAGACAATCAATCAATCAATCGAGAAATAAAAAGCCAAGGTTGGTTTTTATGCCAGCCAGCGTAAGGCTCAGTAAAAACACGAGATGGTACGGGGAAAAAATAGGTCATCGGATGAGAGAAGTGACAGACGGAGTAAACTCCCAGACAAACAACACAGCAAAGTAGTAGAAGAAGCAGAGAACTGTGTAGAGCTGCCATTGCAATGCATTACATTTGATTTGGAAGGAGATCTATTGGCTTTGCTGCTGCTGGTTTACAGACGACATTCACAAAAGCACCACATCAATTTTGACGTAATTGAAAAAAACAAAAAAAGAACAAAACAACAGCAAAACAAAGGCTTTCTGATGCACATTTCAAGGGTTTAGTTTAGCTTAATATACTGGGTAAAGGCTTGGGTGTGACCACAATAAAGCTGGACAGGACAAGAACAGGAAGTGGAAAAGGTGATCGGGAAAATCGCTGTAGTAAAAAGGAAGTGGAAAGGATATGTTTTTTTGTTTTTTGTTTGTTTTTATGTGAGAAGTTGGAAGACACTAAAAGCATGCCATCTATTGGAATGTGCAAGGCAGGATCAAAAATTTCCATGGTGCCCCATGATGAAGGTTATCCTGCCTAACAAAAAACTTAACATCAAATCCACAAACAACACCTCTGACAATGATAACCACACAGAAAAACAAAAAAAAATGCCAGGGTAAAAGAACAGCAACAGTGTGAACGTCACCAAAAAGCAAGTTAGTTCTTGTTCCATTGTAAAGCGTTTCATTGCACAAAGTAGGATAGTAAAGCAATACTGCAAGGTCGTGCCATTTTATATGATTTAGCACTGCGGCAACAGCTGTCTGTGGGTGTTAAAGATTTGGATACCAAAAATCAGGACATGTTAAAGGTTCACTACAGGCCAATACCAACTAGCCAGCAACTATTACAACAACAAGAACAAAACAAAAAAAAGACTTTATACTTTTTTTTTTTTTATAGGTTTTACATTCAACATGTTTTGTTTTTCTCCCCTTTGCCTCTAAGCTACAATATACATTGAATCTGTTCACTATAACTTCTCAAACAACTTTAAAAATGAAAGAAAAACATTCGGTACTGTAAAAAAAAAATTCCTTTTCATATGACAGTTACAACAAACAAAAGAAAAGCGATATATGAAAAAAACCCCACAACAACCTCATGGTTCTCTTTATGTTGCATATGTACAAAAAAGCCCTGAAAATGCACAAAACCATCTATATCGTCACTGCTTTCCATCTACTGCTAATGTGCACACCCACAAACAGTCAACTTCTATCTCCATCTCTCATTATGTAGCTGAAAAGGGGTAATAGCTGATCTTGTCACCACAAATGTTCTCTTGTCTAACACAAGAGCAATTTTGTTCCCATGTTTTTACCCAAGATTCACCCAAAGAACAAAACTCCTAATAAAACAAGTCTAGGGACTTACCCTCACACGCCAGTTTAGTGCAACTTAAGAAAAAACAAAAAACCTGCCTCTGTGGCAGGCAGAGGGTCATACTAGCTTAACAGGTGCTAAAAGTCCCATTCTCTGCCAGCTAAAGCGCTGGCCTGTAACCGCCGTTGGTGGAATCTGAAAGTGCTTGCACTGCGGATGGGGAGGAGAGAGAGAGAGAGAGAGAGAGAAAGAGCTAAAATGGGGTGCATTTGACACTAACCCAAAGCTCAGCGAAGGATACAAAATAAAAAAGTGGTATCCAGCACTAATAACATATGTACATGTTACTTTTTTCAGCAAAATGTAAAGAAGCAGGAACTTGTTTTTAAGTAAAGGAAGCACAAGGCTGAGCTTTGTGGATAAAAATTGTACTGTGAAAAGAAACTCCAGGCAATAAAACACTGTAAAGCATTTGTTATCAAGCTGATAATGTGTAGCTACTGGCTAAAACTGGTGTTTTCCCATCACTGAGACAAGGCTGGTGCTGCGTTCATCCCTTGGCACTCTTCCAAGGAAAGGCAAAGTGACTACCGAGTACCTCACTGTACTTCCAGTACCACGCTCCTAAAGCTGGCAGCACTGCCGTGTTTAGTACAACAACTCTGACACAGAGTGCAAGACACTGACTCTCAGGATCACGTGCTAATAATGGGGAACCGCAGAGGTTCGCGACCCCTGCCCCTGACACCCCATTTATTCCATCAGGCAGTGACGATACGCCTCCCACCCACGACCCCGCCCAAAACAAAATACCCCTTTCACTTAAAAAGTTTCGTATATAAAATTTTCAGTTATAAAAACGCGTCTTTGCACAGTGCAACCTAGTGCAACTTGATTAGTTCAGTATATCTTTTCCTTTTTGTGTTCTCTTCATTGGCACTTGGTGAAATGGTTAATTTTCTGACGTTAGAGGCCTGCTGACCTAGCTTATGTGAGATGCCACTGGAATAATGCTTTTCTTTTAAAAGGTGGGGAAATTAATGTTCAATAACAACAATAAGTGCTCGTGTGTGTTTAATGCTAGAAGGGGGAAGTGCTACCATACACAGTGGGGGAAATTATTATTTCATCCCTTGCTGTATTTACAAGTTTGCTCACTTACAAAGAAATAAACAGTGGCTAATTTTTAAGGGAGAATACCAACCAACCAAAAAAAAAAAAAAAACCAAAACAAAAATCCCCCCCCCCCCAAAAACACCAACATTACATAAACATCATAAATTTATTTGCAATCAGTGAGTGAAATAAGCATCTACTACAACCCAGCCAGAGTTCAGGCTCCAACAGATTGGCTATGTGCCCATGTGGCATACAGATTACAGCCAATCAGTTAGAGATAGTCCTTTATCTCCACTGATTGGCTGCACTAGACCTGCACTAGGCTGGAATGAGCTACAAGACCATCAGTAGGAAGGTTGGTGAGAAAGTGACAACTGCTGGTGTGATTTTTGGGAAATGGAAGAAATATAAAATGACTCAATCGCCCTCAGTCTGGAGCTCCTTGCAGGATCCTGCCTCACAGTGTGAGGATGATCATGAAAAAGGTGGTGGATTAGCCCAAAACTACACGTGAAGAGTTTGTTAATGATCTGAAGACAGTTGGGATCACAGTCACCAAAAATACCATTGGTAACACACTAGTACGCTGTAATAGACTGAAATGTTGCAGCACCTACAAGGTCCCCCTGCTCACGTAGACCCATCTTAAGTTTGCCAGTGAACATCTAAGTGATTCACAGCAGGCTTTGGAGAAAGTGCTGCAGTGAGGCATCAACGCAACCTGTCATGTTTGGAGGAACAGAAATGCTGAGTATCACTCAAAGAAAACCATCCCTACAGTCAGAGGTGGAAACATTATGCTTTGGTGCTGTCTTTCTGCTAAGAGCACAGGGCAACTTCACCGCATTAAAGGGGCCAATGGACAAGGATGTGTACTGTAAAATCTTGGAAGAGAGCCTCCATCAGTCAGCCAGAACACTGAAGATGGCTCGTGGATGAGTCTTGCAGCATGACAATGACCCAAAATATACCGGCAAGGCAACAAATGAATGGAGTGGCCTAGCTAGTCTCCAGACCTCAGTCCTAGAGAAAATCTGTGGAGGGAACTGAAGCTGAAATTGAGCTTTAAAGTGCCAAACAGAGGCCAAGAAAACTGAGTGGATTTAGAGTTTCTGTAAAGAGGAGTGAGCCAAAATCTCTCCTGAGATGTGTGCAAACCTGGTGACCAATTACAAGTAACGTCTTACCGCTGTGCTTGTCAGCAAGGGTTTGTCCATCGAGTACTAAGTCATGTTTTACATGCAAACTTTTATGTAATGTGGGTTTTTTGTTGGGATTTTTTGGTTGATATTCTGTCTGTCTCCATTAAAATGTAACTACCATAAAAATCTGTTCATTTCTTTGTAAGTGAGTGAACTCAGGAGATAAAGTAATTGTTTCTCTCACTCTAATGTGGCATCAACCAACAACGACTCTGCGATGACAAAGGACAGCACAGGTGTTTCTATGGCGACAAATGTCTGAAGTCATCCTGTACCTCAGTCAAGGAGACAGTTCAAAGATTGCATTCTCATACGGAGGACAGGCACTCTGTTTGTCATACATTTCTACTGAGATCAGGTAAAGGCAGTGTCGCTTAGAGAGTCGAGGGCATGCTGCCGAGCTGCATATAAAATCTGCTAACAATAAACACAGAGTTGAATCTCAAAAAAAAAAAAAGAGAAAAGGAAAAATATATATCTGTTTTATGTCTCTGAGAGAAAAAAAAGTTACCAGTTAAAAGTTTTTTCTTTCTAATGGAGTTGGGTTGTATCAGAATTAGCAGTCCAAAGAACAGGAGATATTACAAACTACACAGAAGATCCAGCAACACTTTCAACAGTCACATCCTGACACATGGGTCAACTACAAGAGCTCATGACGCCTTACTCACTTTCAGACTTCACCTTCTTTTCTGTGAAAGTAGGTGAAGTTTTGCCAGAAACCTTTATTTTGTCACTAAGAATGTCGGCACTTTTATTTGGCTCAATGGTTAATGGGAAGTATCTTTAGAAGATTATCTTTCATCTCAGTCATCTAAATCTAAAAAAAATACCTCAGCCAGCTCTGAGAAACCTGATGAGAGATGTACACTATGAACGGGGAAGGGGAATATGCATAAATAATAATGCACTCTTAACAATTGTTCCTGATTTTTTTTTTTTTATTAATATCAAAAACAGATCACTACATAGATTACTCATGTCATTTATTTGTCAATTATAAGTGCTTTTTGCCATTGAAGCTCACAATTTAAAGCTAGTTAACCTTTAAACAGGGACAACCTAAAAAATATCTTGTTTTTATTTTGCTCTCTGTTGCTTATTTCAGATAAATGGGATTTTAAGACGTAACCATTTACTTTAAATTTCCAGTAGTGATGTAAAATGTCCTTAAAGGGGCTATGTTGAGCGGGAAAAAAGAACAATAAAGAATTTAACCTTCTAAAAATCTCCCACTTATATTTTATCTAAAGCATGGAAACCTTGGCCTCTCCTTTACTCTTATAGGCCTAATCTGAAAAGTAAGACTTCATTTTGGTAAAATATTGCTACATTAATTGTTTACATAAATCAGTCAATCTACAAAAACCCTGCCCCGCACTGACTTGACTTAATCCTGCTTATTTATTTCCAAATGTTACACCAGAGCAAAAGATAATTTCAGACCTATGAAATTAACTGTGGTGTGCAATGCTGGTTAATGCTAACTATTCCAAATATGGCAGAGTGAGTAACCTGTCCTCTTAAAACTGTAAGAATATGAATTAGAGCGCCTGATTGTCATCATCAGGTGGCAATCAAGTCAGATAATAAGTCAGACTGTAAGTTAAAGTTTCAAAGGGCAGTTCTCATTCACGTATCGTCGTGGTAAACAATCTCTTTAAGAGCATCAGCTGTTAGAAGAAAAAACTATCAGCCTTTCAGCCTCAACTCAACCACAAAGCAAGACAGATGATAATCAATCCTGCAACTCTGCCAATTGCACAGTGAATCTACTTGTTGCATCAGCAACTCATTGCTGAAAATAAACTACACAGTATAAGAAACAGATGTCCACTTTTTTTTGTTACCGTGACACTTTAAAAGAAGGTGCATATTTCTAAAAGTAGAGAGAAGAACAGAGGGAAATACATATCTTGAAAACATTTTGGTGCATCACAGGAAATATTTTTGTACCACTTAGTGTGAAGGGTTTTTGTGCAGCTTTGCAAAACAAATATAGCTGTTTGGCTACTCTGAATCTGTGTAACAAACTAGTTGTTTGATACTGGACAAAACGCATTTCGACATGCAGTCAGCCAGACTGCTGAAGACAGAGATGGTAGAGCTTACGCCAAATCTGCTGGCTGTAAGTGAACAGGCTTTTTGCACCTGGTAGGTTTGGAGTCCCTTAAACAGTGACACTGAGAAACAGATATGCTACAGAGGTCTTACAAAGCACATCAGGTGTTAACCCATGATCCGACTCAAAAACAGTAGCTTGCATGATGCTCTTCTGATAAACAACAGAGCATGCCCAAAAGCTTATTTGTAGTCTTTAAACAATGCCTTGAGTTGAAGCAATTTGAAAACAAAAACTCAAATCAAAAGGCTTATAATCGAATTTAAATGTTTCTTTTTTTTTTCCTTAACTCAACAGAGTGAAAATGTTTCAGTCTTAGAACAAAGTATCCAAACCTGCATAAAGATTTTTTTTCTCTCTCTCTCGAGAAGTTTTTTTAAAATGTTTGTTTTGAAGCATCAGTTTTGTTTTGTCTTTGTGTTTGGAAACGGAAAAGAGTGAAGGCGAAACCCACTGCTGGGCTGGAGGAAGCAGTGCTGAGAACTCCATTGTGAAGAGACTCCCCTTATTTCCTCAGTGGAAGTGTCCACCTCGCTGTCGCTCCTAGAGGGGAAGAGCTCATATCGCAGACCGAGGAAGGGGACTTTATTAGTCGGTGAATCTCTGACAGGCCTTTTTCCAACGACAGGCTGTGCACCACATGTCTCTCTTCTCCATGCCGTACACCTTTCGGCACTTCTTCGCCTCCCCACGGGGTTTCCTTGGTAACAGCAGATGTGACAGCATAAGGACATGCACATAGACATCCAGACACACACATGGGCAAACGGCAAACATGTACGTACAATGTGCTTAAAGGTGAGTAGGTACAGTATCTCTCTTTTAAATAATTCAGTGATTCAGTACAAGAACACCATTTTTGAAGAGGCCGATATTATTATACCTATACACATGTAATATCTGACATGGTTCAGCACCTTGAAGAGTAACACAGGCTTTTGGCGGTGCACAATTATAATTACACATATGATCCAAACGCCATTATAAGAATTTAAAACAGTCAAACTACTTATCAGCAGAATTAAATACCCAGCCCAATAACATCACACAGGTACGAATGTAATCACATTCACGTTTCAGAAAGTATATTAGTGCAAGCAGCAGTTTTATTCATTTAACCTACTGTGACCCACTGAAATGATAATAGCTTTGTAGCTACAATAGCCAAAATTTTTCATTTTAGTTCCCAGCCTGAGGAGTTTGCATGGACTTCCTGCAGACTCCTCTAAGGGAACTAATGGGAAGTGTGTTGAAAGCATAGACAATTAAAAAAAGGTGGACGCAGGTATCATGACGTCACCAACTGGTTTCTGAAGTCCAGTTTTACACCCTCGAAATGAGCGTTTCTTGCCATCTGACAAGGAGGGGCACGTCTGACTGTGAAACCATGTGCTTTGTCGGCTATTGACTTGTGTTTTACAAGTTGTTAGCCAATGACTACGCGGTTTCATACCATTGATAATGCTCCATTTTTTACAGTATGGCCAAGATTTTCAAAATCTTATTTTTTAACTTCAGTATGAGCTAAAACAGGTGAGTGAGCCCATAAACTCACCAGGAAAGTATTTACAAAGGTCAAAACAGAGAGTCATTTCCCCATAGATTTCTATAGAACCATAAGTCTTTTAGCAACCACAGCTTTCGCCATCTGGTGGCCTTTAGATAGAATGCAGGTTTAATTTTTATAACCCAGATGCTACGTAGATGCTTTTTACTGTATATATTTGTAAGCAAAAGTAAGAAAAAAATGCAAAAGAAAGAAAAGATTTCACATTTGATATCAAATGCTGAATCTGCAAACAGAGAGAAAGAGCCAGTCATTCACACTCCCATCCACACCTATAACCAATTTATAACACCTTTAGAACACACATGCACACTTCACACAGAAAAGCACCAGCTGACCAACAGTTTAAAATCCCAAACATTCTTCCTATGAAGCAAAAGTACTTTTAGCACTTTGACTCAAGCAGACTTAATCAGCACTCTAAGTAAATTGTGGATGCATACCTGGCTCCTTGTGTTGATTTAGGTGATGGCATAATCAGTGGGTGGTTCTTGTTAACAATGGCGTGTGAGCTAGGTGCTGGCTGCCGCTTTTCTCCAATGCTAACTGTACGAACATGAGTTGTTGCCCCCTGTAAAAGAGTCATTAAGTCAATACTCAAAATCATACTGACAGAGAGCAGACCAGCTTCATCAAGAGAAATGATCAGATATCAAATACTGATTGAACAGACACATGATGTTTATGCAGTTACAACCACACAATGATGACAGCTGAAAAACAGAAAGACACAACCTGGATTTTTCTGCCCCTGTCTTAATGAACTACAGTACCTTAGTGTAGCACAAGACCACATCGTGTCACTCCTGTTAGTTAATAATAGGACAAAAAAAGAACAATTGGATAACACAAGATTTGAACAATGTCAGCTGGTCTGATGATTGCCAATTTCTGCTGCCTGCAGATCGTAGAGTGTGATTTCGGCTTAAACAGCATGAAAGCATGCCGCCTTCTATCACTGGACTCCTGAGAAACTTTTTAAAATTCATCACTTCAACAAAGCCTTCAACCTCTAGACTTTTTGATTATTTATACTCTTTTGTAAAGTGTCCTTGGGTTTCTTGAAAGGTGCTATACAAATCTAAATTATTAATATTAAATCAACAGTTCAGGCTGCTACTGATGGTGTAATGGTGTGTTGCTATACTTGGGTTCCATAGTATCAAACTAATCATACTAATCATAACTAAAACAGCATGACATGAGTATTGCTGAGTATTGTTTCTGATCACGTCAATCTCTTCAGGATTCTGGTGAACCAATTCTATCATGACTGCTTCCAGTAAGATAATGCAGCATGTCACAAAGGTCAAATCATCTCAAACTGGTTTCTTAAACAGGACAGTGAGTTCTTTGTATTCAAAGGGCCTCCACAGTCATCAGATCTCAATCCAATAGAGGTAGTGGGATATAGTGGAGATTCACATCATGGATGTGCAGCCAACAAATCTGCAGCACCCGTAGGATGCCATCATGCCAATATGCACTAAAATGTCAGAGGGATGTTTCCATCACCTCATTGAATCTATGCCATAAAAAATTAGGCACTTCTACAGACAAAAGAGAGCAACGCAGTACTAGCAAGGCGTACCTAATGAAGTGGCAGGTGAACATACTGTTCAGTGGTCTGAGCACCCTTTGGCAAATTACATATATTTCTGAAGTGAAAAGTAAAAATAGCAGTCTTTTCTTTGCATTTTAATGCAGAATTAATGTTCATTTGATATACCCAAAGAAATTAAAAATACAACAACAAAATACCAATCTAAAAAGTCATTTTTTTATGTCTATGTTTTTCACTGTTTTTGATTACTAAGAGAAACAAGATCACTTTGTGGAGCAGTGTACTGTGCAACACCTATAAAACACACACACACACAGGTTTATCACAAATATACAAATGACATTTAAATTTTGCATTTGTTTGGTTCAGACACTGGCACGAGCATGACTTAAAAGTTCTCTGCAACACAACCGTAACAAAACAGGGGAAACTGCCTTTCCATAATTACTCTGCTCCTTCTTCCAGCTCCAATTTTTCCTACCAGTGGGAAAACTACCACTATCTACAGTGGAAGACAAAAGAACTCTGCTTTTCTTTTGCTGGTTGTGCAATCAAGCCTTCATTCAAAGTGGTGGTAAACTCTGTTGGTATCATGTTATAGCCATTGCACTGAGCAAACAAATTGTATTAGATAATGATCATTTGAAACCAACAGAGTCGTCAACTGCTTTAGGTACAGAAACAAAGACTGACACTTCTCTGTATAAAAAGAACATAGCGTAAAGAAGCAAGGACAGGAAAAACAAAAAAGTGAAAAAAGCTTCCATGAAAAGAGCAGTGGAGAAGTTAAGATGAAGTTAAAAGGGTTGTGAGATAAAGCCTCACTCACCGGGATGCCTTTAAAAATGACAGGAGGGGACTGCCACGACACACTGATGCCATTGCCAGTCCCAGTTCCAGGCCCGATCCCATTACCACTGCCTATCCCAGCCAGCTCAGGACCCACTGGGATACTCACTGGAGCGGTGGCCTGGAACATGGACAGCCACCCCACATAGCCAGGAGAAGACACAACAGAAACGAGAAGGGATGGGAAATGAGCAAAGAGAAACAGAAAATAAGAGATCACAGAGGGAATAGGTTGTATAAATTAGAAAGGAAGGCATATCTTCAGCTTTTAATCTGAAAGGTGCCTTAAACTAAATACTGATCACAAATGTACAACAAAACTGCTAATATTTTTAAATTCACACAAATAAAAAGATTTGAGTGAAAACTTTAGTTAACCAAAACTGGCAGGCACTTGCAAAATGTTGCACAAACGGCAGTATAAGGAATAGCAGGAAGAATATGAAGTTAGGATAAATAAAAGAGTACGCATACAGTACAATACAGAGAAAATGAAGTAGTCCTATTCAGTTTCTTTGCATAAAAGAAACATTGCTGTTTCTTTAATATGTGTATTCAGTTGTCATGGCAACTAAAAGTGTGATCCTGCCTGAAGCCAATGAAAAGGACTGAATTCTGTGAATTCCTAAAGTATTTAAACTTTAACCAAACTTCCAGCTGACACCATGTAATTTTACCTTCAAGGACGGGTCAATAGAAACGGCGCATAGACAGGCAAGGAAGGCCAATGAGAAGAGGTTTAAGAAGGCATAGACACCTAAAACAGGACTACACAGGACTTTAACCATGATCTGAAAATCTAATAACTAAAACTTTTCTGATATCAAAATGAGCAAAAACTGGATTCGGACTTCATTCGTCATGTGAACTTCTGTCAATATTTGCCAGAAAGTTTTGCTTCTCTCCTTGTTACATACTCCCACACTGGCGTAGGAGCTAAGTAACTCACCCTGGCCTCTTTATTTATTCATTTATTTATTTGTTTGTGTTTGTTTGTTTGTTTTCACTGATTTGAAAAACTGCCTCTGCACATTCCACATATTAGAATACTGAATCCTGGATTTATCCTTGCTGTACTTGCCAAATGTTTAATGTTTTGTCTTGGTTTATTTATTTATTATTTTTTTAAATGCAGCTTCAGCTATTCTCTGTGTCTTGTCTCGCGCTGAATGTGAATTACCTGGTAGGCATGGTCAGTGCGGATGTGGCAGAGTGTGGAGGGAGCTGACTGACTGAGCAGTGAAGGGGCGTGGCACTGCGAACCATTCATGTTGATGTGCTTGGAGTGAGGGACATCGGTGAGCGGTGGAGGGAAGATGGGCGGCGGACCGGCTGTGGTTGGGGAAGTGGGTGTGAGGTTGGACAAGCCCTCCGTGAGGCTGTCCATGTTGACCTCAATCTCTGAGTAGTAGAAGTCCTCTTCTCCATCACTGTAGTCAGAGTCGCTGCTTCGCCTACAGGGGAAGGTTATATATTCCCGATTTAAAATAAACATTTAAATTGTTTTTTAAGAAAAACTGTAAACATACAAGTGATAATGATAAGAAACCACAAACAGGCTCTCAATACATTACGACGGAATCAAGATAGACACCTATAAATACGGATAGACAAGTTGTTGATTATAACAAAAAAAAGTGTACTCTCTCCAACAGAAGGGGGCAGTATAACCCAGTGTGCTGCAAAGGTCCTTAAACATACAAGCTGGGAATTGAACTAACAAAAACAAAAACTAAGTACAACGCCCACAAGAGAAAATAATCCTTCGAGTAACAGTGTCTCTTTCTCTTAACTTAGAATTGCATAAAGGTATGAAATCGCTTTCAAGCCTTCTGTTAGTGATTTCTGATTACCCAAGGCGTACCTGCTGCACAGCAAAAACAGCCACAGCATGACTCATCAATGCCAGTTGACCATATATAATATAATGTGATGTCTTGCAAAAGAAACAACATCTCCATGCACTGTAATAAATTATGGGTTAAGCTGAGAAAAATTGGTCTTAACTGGGCAATGCACAGTTGCAGTCATAATTATTCACCTCCATAAACTTGTGATGTGAATACAATGTGAATACATTTTTCCTTTTGTAATATTCACCTAACCTTTTATGTGCCCTTTGCTTAAGAATGTAGAATCTTCCTTCAAGCACTGCCTTTTTTGGTGTAATCAATTTAGTCTTTCTATCTTTTGAGACAGATCATTTATCTTTGCTGTACTTGCTTCTTGGCTTAAACACCTGTATTTTCAGGATTTATATCTGCACAGAAGGTCTAAATCCCCTAAAAAAAAAATCTTATTTTTGAGCAGTTAGAAATTCATGCCAGAAAATGAAAATGTTTTACTTGTAAACCTTTGCATACGTTCCATGGCTGAATGGTTTTTGATAGCAAATGTGCCTGTGAGCACCTGTGCAGAGGCACAGTAATTCAATAGCCCAGTTGGACACCATCCAAACTGTGGCAATGTGTGTCACTTTTCTTGTCTTACCACACTATTTTAAAATCACAAGGTATGGGAGTATTATCTGGAGCTGCAGAAAAGAGATTACTAACACAAACAGAAAACACAGCTTTAAACAATGACAGCTTCACAAAAAAGAATATCCGTGTGATCTCTTGAGATTATAAAACACATGACGGTGGCATGGGTATGTTTAGGTATTTAGCTAAGAAAAGCATGGTGCTAAGTGCATGATACACACAATATAAAAAAAAAAAAAAAAAAAAACTATCTTTGAGAGCCTACAATTTTCTAATCATTTAATCGTTTTTTTAAACATCTGACAGCACAACATGAATATGCAGCTGTAATCTGGTCATATTTTACACAAATACAGTCTGCTGAGCCCCGAAGGCAATAACTCAACACTGTGTGGGTTTACTTTGTGATGACTACCAACTAACCCCAGGTGGATGGTGCGGATGTGTCGCTGGATCCCTGAGGAGGTGCTGAGGACCTTTTCACAGTTCTTCCACAAGCACTTGAACATGACCTTCATTGAGTTCTGCAAGAGACGTTTACCAAAAACAAAACTAAAGTTAGCTGGCTGTTGCAAAATCTTAGCAGTTGTGCTCTGGTTTCTGAGTGAGAATCAAGCTGCAATTAAAACAATAAATAAATGAACACATTTTCTGCATAACTCAGTTATGCATGGGATGGCCTGTGTGGCCTCCTCAATAAGAACTGCTCTGTTGAGAAAGAGTAAGAGTACAGTGGGAACTCTTTGGGATGGAATGGGGATATATAGCACAGGAAATAATTCGGTGATTACATAAAAGGCTGGTCACACTGTTTAACAAAACATTCAAGACCTCTCACAAAACTAGACGTGTAATTTGGAAATTTTTCTCATAGCTGATCCTCTTGTTTTTTTTGTGATTTTACCAAAAGAAAGAACAACAAAAGAACAAAACATAAGACCTTAGTTCATTTAAATGGGAAGCTGTTAGTTGATGAGAGATAGATTGCCACTTTTTATTTTGACTTATTTTCTTTTTCCACATATCAGGCCCTGGCAGCTGTCCCTTTAGCAGGCAGGGACTTGCATTGCTGCTAATGAAAGACAGTGGGTGAAAGACAGTGGGTGTGTGCTTTTATTACCTTCCAATAGCCTCTGGAGAAAAAAGGGCAAGAAGAAGAGAACTGAGGGAGGGAGCACGAGAGACAGAGGAAGCAGGGCAAGAGAAACGAGTTTAAAGCAGGTTTTTAACAATAGTTACATTAACTTTCTCCTGCACCGCTATTCCTCTGAACTACTTCTCACGGACTCCTACAGCATACACTTACCCCTAAACCCTTCAAAAACACAAGAGGCCAAACTCCTAAACTCTTTGACTGCTGCTAGCTTTATGCACGTACCCCATGAAGCTGTTTGCAACAAAAAGTACACAGCAAAGCTAATCTGTAATCCTACAAACAATCACAAATCACTTAATTCTCAAAGTGTTTTTCTTGCCTCTTACCACAGTAACATTAAGACTAGTGAATGTCATGTTAAATAATCCTCTTAATTCAATGCCCGCACAAAAATCAGACAGCATAAAATCCAGTGGGGGTAGTTTCTGTTAAGAGTTTGTGACAGCTATGTCACAACACAAAGCTAACCAGCAAATTAGCCAACCTTTAAGCCCACTTCCACACAACTTGTTTTTCTATACTTGCCCCAGCATCATCCTACTTAATTTCCTGTCTGCTTATCTATAGAATGGCATGTCCTTGGAGTCTCTATGGTTTTCATATATTCACTGCTGCCTCACTCCAGGGAGGCTCAATTGCAAACTCCCACATATACAGTATATGAGCTCTCCTTTGTCACCGTATGGCCGGAGGAAATATTGAGATTGATTTCTCCTTCTGCTGCTACCCTGTGCATCAGTTCTCCTTTCCGTCTTTATACCCTCCAACTGCCCTCATTTTTATGCATCCCTTGCATGCTTACTTCCTGCTGTTCATTCCTACACAGTCTGCCGATTTTCTTTCATTGTTATAAAACCCTACCACCTCTTTCCCTGAAAGGACTGAAAAGGCAATTGGAAGCTACTTGACAGCAAAAACATTTTGCTGTTCTGGACTGCTTCTGTAGTACAAAACGGAGGAGGTGAAGTAAAAGCAAGAATATAATCAATCGTCCACACAACCAGAGAGTGGCAGGCCATATGTAAGAGGTTATTTAACCTGCCTAGTGCTTATGTTTGACTGTTTGTGTTGTGGATTTTCTATCTCCTACCTAGTACTTAAAAATTAGAAAGGTACAGAGCTGTTTGTATACAAGCTCAGCTTGATTTACTATCTTCAGGATGTACTCTATATATTTAGCCTAGACATGTGTTAAATGCTCTTACCCTATAACAGCTGGGATAGCCTCCTGGCCCCTGGGACCCTAAGTTGGACAAGTGGTTAAGAAAATAGATGGACAGATGGGTGGATGAACCACTGATTATTTCCTATTCAAAACTAAAATTGAATCTGCTTTTTCCTCTTTTAAACTTCTCTATGAAACTTTATCAAGTTGACAACAGTCACTTCAAGGGGCTTTATATTGTGAGGTAGAGACCCTACAATAATACAGCAAACACTCCCGCAATCAGACGACCCACTAAGAGCAAGCGCTTGGCAACAGCAGGAAGGAAAAACTCCCTTTTAATGGGAAGAAACCTCTGGCAGAACCAACCTCAGTGCAGCCATCTGCTGCAATCAGCTGGGGGTGAGAGGAGTGAGACAGGACAAAATACATGCTGTGGAAACACAGTGTGGTGTATAAACACAGAGTGAAAAAAAGGTCAAGAAGAAGAAATGCTCAGTGCACTATTGGAAGCCCCCAGCAGCCTACACCAAATCTAAACACAAACTGTAATCATCAGGTGTACTAAGGTGTAGTGAGGTGAAAAAAAAAAACTGTTGAGACCAAAACAAAGTCCAAGCTGCAGAGGTGTGACACCACTGCCTCAAGCCTCAAGCCGCTTGGATGCCACAAAACTGCCCAAGTTAAGAAAGAAAGTCAGGACGTAAGCGTTTATCTTTACCTTTCGCTTCCGAGGTATGGGGTCTTCAAACATGAAGTGCGGGCTCTCTGTGACATCCTCACTGCCATCATCACCCTGGGACGAGAGCGGGAAGCTCTTGTTTGTATCGTTTAAAAGTGGTGGGGACGGAGTGGAGGGGACTGAATGGTCACTGGCATCCCAGCTCCAGTTGCCGCTGGTCGAACTGCTGTAGCTAGCTGACAGCACCTCTTTCCAAGCTCTGCCGGCCGGCTCGGGGGCTGTAGTTTATACAACACAACAACTTATTGTTATTGGCAAGACGTGACTGAAATGAGGATGTTTTATGTTTGAAGACATACAAATTTGACCATGAACTAAGAGCCAAATGTGAACCAGTGAGGTATGAGAAAAAAATAGAAGTTCTGAGAACAGGTCCATAAAAACAGCAAACTTAGCTCATTTAAATCTGGCCATCTCATGGATGAGAAGACAGCTTTGAGCTTCCAACACAGCTGGTATTTTCAGATCACTTCCCGTCATCTTCTGACCATGCTGCATACCAGAGTGCCAGCTCAGAGCACTTTGAGTTTTTTTGGCCAGACAACATAACAATTTTCATTCACCATATGGGCCCCTCATTAGATTTGCCTCCTGCAACTTTCTCCATTCCCCAAAAATAACAATGAAATTGAAGGGCAGCAGTTTTGGCACACTGGACCAGATTCAGTGGCCATCGCAGACACAAATTAAGTGGACAGCTGCCCTACAAAAAAACAAAAACAACCAACAGTCCAGGGGGTGCACAAGAAGATGGCCTTGAACAGGACAACCAATTTTAACTTGATCTGTTATAAGAACTCTTTGATAATACCTCTCAATTTTAAATTTGTATTACTGGAAACATAATATTGGGGCTCTCTTGCAAAACAATCCCAATTCTAATGTCACAAAATAATTAAAATTATTAAAATAATCTTAATCTGTAAACCTTAGAAGCTTATTTCCACAAATTATATAATATCTAAAACAATGGATTCTTTACTACACCACATATTTTTTAGCTACTGTATACTGAAACTTCAACCATTGAGTCCAAACTTTCTTTACTTCCCAGAACAAACACTATACGATTTCCAGTGTGTAGGCCCAGAAACCCTTTCAATACATTTGTTAATTTGTTGATCAATTATATAGTGCTTTAAGACTTGATTATCACAATGGCTTTATCTGACTTTTAATCAGGCAAATTATAGTGAAAAACACAGAGCAAGGACTAATATCATACATTTTGGAGAGACCTTCTACAATTCAATAACTGTTTCCCATATAAATATAAAGAGATAAGGGTTATCAAACTATTTTTCAGAATTATCAAGGGGCTTCAGTGGACTGTGTGTTTTCACACAAAAAATATAAAAATAAAAATAGGATATCCAATCCTGTCTCAACTCATAAAAACAAAAACCTGCCACTTTTTTAAACAACCAAATGCACCAGGAGCTAAACAAATAAATAAATAAACAATTTAATTTTTAAGTTATAAAAATATAAGGAAAGGTTTTGGAGGTTGCATTAAAACAAAACAAAACTATCCAATCTCAACAGGGATCCATACAGCCATGGATACTTTTTATAAAAGCACCACTGTGATTTACCACAGAGTAATCAAGCAACACCCCCTTTCTGAAATATTTTGTCAAATAAGCATTTCATCAAGCATTGCAATCATAAACTCACAGCATCCTCTGATCTGATCTAATGACTGCATCACAGATCATTTCTAAAATGAAAGCTTACAGTTCTTGGTTTATTTCTATTATGTCCGAAATGGTGCAGCAGTGTCAACAGGGTGCTTCTAGCCTTTAGAGATAAAAACTATAGAAGCTCTTCCTGAGAGCAAAAAACCAGCAGCCCGGGTTTAGCGCTGAGCTAAAAAGCTGTCAGGACTTTGACCGTCTGGTGGTTGGCATGGTAATAGCAACCACAGCAACACTGGAAACAGCAAAAGGAGCTGTGGTGAAATGGTCAAGGCTAAACAGTTGGCAGTAAGTGCTGGGCTTGGGTAAACATACATGCATGGAAAGATGATGGAATAAAGTGCTAATAACACTGCGTGACCCTTCTCTGGGATAAATACATGTTAACACATCAACGAGTCAGCAGCTCAGCCTGTGTCAGGGTAAACTAACATCAAGTGATTTGTGATGAGCATCGTCCCCAGCGAGCAACACAAAGTGAATGTCCTTGATTTTGTTAAACACAGTGGATGAGTCAGTGTGTGACAAAGCAGCTTGCACTCAAGGAGCAGTAGGTGCATGGGTGCATGAATGCAACTGATGCCGAGCCAATGGTGTTACCTGTGGGTGCAGACGAAGGGTAATGCACCAAAGGTGATGTGGACAGTGAGGTCAGGACGGTGGCAGCCATCACCTCCTTATCAGCGTGACCTGACGGCTTCCTGAAAAATAAAAATGCACACTGAGCACAAGAAACATATCTGGTGTAGTTTTAAGGGGTACTCTTGTCTAACCAACCCCATGCTCTATTAAACAGAGGTTTGTCTGTTTTTCAGAGTATTGGAAAATATTTAAGGAAAAAAAAAGTTTAACCTTGTCCCCAGAGAAACATACAATTCTCTATATAGCCACAAAATACAAACTGTGATGTTAGAAGAAATTTACATTAGGAGGTAAACAAGTCCAACAAGCAGCCAGAAGACAGAGAGATATGTAATTTCATGTACAGTAAATCTTAGACAACTTACTATTGTGTGTGTTCAAATATGTGCTTGTGTGCATATATACAAACACGGGGACAAAGCCTCTAGAGTGAAAGTGTTTTGTGGTGTGTTTCTGCACAGCTTGTGCAACCTCGCTTAGAGGGGAGAACCATGCTTTTTGCTCAGTTCCTTCTCAGAACGCCCCATGCAAAGCAATCCAACCTCATCTTAAATCTTATTGATACTACCCACTTGAACTGACACCAGAAAACATTCACAAACACAGGCACAGACAGCCTAAACAGTGTGCTTTGGCATAAGGCATTCTTGTTAAAAAAAAAAAAAAGAAAAGAAAAAAGATCCTGCAAAGACAAATAAGCTTATCTGCTTCAGACACACACTTATTATTCCTGTTGGTTCTATTTAAGACTTCTACTGTCCTTGAAAGCAAAATGTGGGGAAAACTATTTGAGGCCAGGCCAAGCGTTCATCCCCACACAGTTGTTCACATTTGCACACACATAAACAGATTTCAATTCTCATGTAACATCCTGAAAAAGATATACCAGTGTCCGTACCATATGTATGTAAATAAATATAAATCCAAATTTACCGATCTGTGCTATACACAGTAGACACATACTCATATTCTCATAGAGAATAGAGTCTGCAGCTTTAAGAGCTCTAGTCCCGCCCCAGACTTCTTCACTACACAACCAGAGTAAACTGGTTTGAGGCATTTTCTCAGCCAAGCCCTAAGCCCTGGCAGAGATCCACTCTTGAATTCTCGGTGCGCGTACACACACACACACACACACACACACACACACAAAACACAAACTTCATGCTGGAATCAACAAACAAGAGAAGTACGTTTCAAAATCAGCAAGTCTACGTGTATCTGCGCACATTCACACACATTTTCAAATGAGAAGTCTCTAAAACATTTTACACACGCAGAAAAAAAGTTTAAAAAGTGCCTAAGCTCCCACGCTGATGAGAATGCGTCGGATAGGAAGCAAACAGATCAAAATGGAATGTACCCGATACGGAGGAATCTTTCAGCCAGTCTGAGCACAAATGTGCTCCCACAAAAGTTGTTGGTTTTACTCTCCAGCATCCCAAAACTTGTGTGTGTTTGTGAATTCAACGCAGACATTTGGAAAAATGGTAGGATATACTCTATAATATTCAAATACTGCCAAGATAGAAGCCATGGTCTCACACACACACACACACACACACACACACACACACACACACACACACACACACACACACACAGAGGACAAGAGATAAAGAGATAACAAGATTAGCTGTGTCCTATTGCAGTCATTAGCCTTGTTTTCAGCAATAACTCGGGCCAACCAGGGACATACTTCTGATTTTCCTCCATCTCTCGTTTAATAAAATCCATCTATAAAATTTGTGTTAGGGCTCTTGGTTACCTTCCATTTGGCCTTCATATAGTGCAGTACTCTGATAGCATACCACTGACAGTCATGCATGTCTGTTTTCTGGTGTGTGGCCTTAGCAAGAGAGATTAGGAAAAACAAACACAAACTGGGAGGACAACAATCCCTGTAGTTGATGTATGGCCTCATTCAAACTTTGATATTCCCCTCTCGTACACATTGATATAGACACACCCATTCCAGCACACCCCAGCACTCATTAATACCCATCCCTACAACCCACCCTGATTTCCTGACATTGAGTGTTTTCCTTCCTCCTTACCAGAAAAAGCAATGATAACTACACCACAGATTCATTGCATCTGGTTCAAGTTTTTAATGTGTGTGAGTGTGCATTGATTAAACAAAAACAAAACAGTAAAGGCCTCCTTCAGAAACCTTTTCTAAAAAGGGCACTTGTTGATTGACTTCTATTCTTGCTGACAGCAGCAGAGCTAATCTGATATCACACAGACTTTGATATCAATGTTTACATCAACTTAGAAGCAGAAAGCTGTCACATTTTACATTTTATAAAAACCAGATTAGAGAGATAACCATCCCTGTCTGTCGCTCACTCTAAAGCAGATATTGCACACTAAATGACACGGCCTGCTACTCTTGTTTTCACTTCTCATCTGCCTGTGAACTAACTAAGGAGCCTTTAAACATGGTGAGAGTGGATGACAGCTGAAAGAGCAACAGCATTGATGTGCCGTAAATCTGTCTGCATCTTCTTATGAGAGGCTTTATTTTGGAGCAAGTCAAACTGGGGATGTCTTTATTTAGTGCCCAGAGTGAGGCAAAGAGAGAACAGCGATTGCTGTCAACAAAGTTGGTCTGTGTGTGGTATATATATATATATGTATTTGGGAGAGGAGAAGGGTGGGGTTTTGGTTTCCAGGATGTTTACACGAACCATTGAGGCTATCCGTGGTGCATTTATGGCATGCAGTAAATTTAATAGTGACATGATAAACATAGCAGCCCTCCACCCTCCCACATATGCAGATGAACATGTGTAGGCACATACTATGTGGTAACTCTGGTATTTGTTGAACTATAATGACATAATTTGCAATTGAAGCTCTTAAATTTACAAGCAGTGCCATTGACAACTCTCTTTTATGAGACAGGTAATACATCAGTTGGGAAGTTCTAACTCTATTTTACAGTACTTGCATGTGTGTGTGTTTTGCATCTAGTTTGGTTGAAGCGTTTGGCACACTTAAGTACATGCAGAAACAACACCATTCACTCAATCTCGCTCACACACAACCTCTTACCTTCCTTCCTCCTCAACTTATATTGGCCTTGGCTGGGCCAAAAACACTCCCCTCTGGCAGTAGCACAACACAACCAGCTAAAAATCAACAAGCCAGGCCCAGGCACATACAGGGAGAGGGAGAGAAAGAGACTGCCACTTAAAGCCCAGCCAAGAAGCAGGCAGCAACAACAAGGTGTGATTATGGAAAGGGCGGGGAGGGGGGGGGAGTTCAAGGATGTGTATATTTGTATATTGTGTGCCAAAAACAGTTACGTTTTAAAGATGACCATTTCACCTAATGTGCACTGCAATAAGCCAGGCAAGAGCGGGCTGTTTCCGTGGGATGATTTTCCAGCTGACTTTTTATTACTTGGATGTGGAAAACATGGGGTTTTTCCAAGTTTCCTAAGGGGACACTTGAGGACTCTGATACTGCCGAGTTACGATTTGGCACCACCAGCCGGTACTATAGTGGGCTCTGTGCTGTTGTTGGGGAGACGACAGGGCCTCCCCACTATATTTAACACATCACCTCTGCTCTAGTTACCATTCCAGTCAAAATCCCTAGGATCTGCCTGGTTTATAGAACGATAGCCCACTTAAGATCCAGGTCAACAGCTACAAAACACATGACTGAAAAAGCGATACACTGTGTATATGGCTGAAGATTTGTCATACTTTATTGGCTTTTCTAAAGTACACCTTTCATCTGAGTTTTTCCCAACCTAATCTGATAATTGCATGTGTATCCAAGGTGCTTCTAGAAGTGTCTCACTACTTGGTAATGCCTTTGGGCAGTTATTTTGAAGCCTCTGTCAAATAATTGGAACAAGGCCAATTATTATATTAGGTTCTCACTTTGACATAAAAACTACGTGTCCCATTAGAGTACTGTACAAATCTATACAAATTCCTGTTGTGGATCAGTAAATATAAATTCATGTCTAAGATAACAACTAGATATGGCTGCTATTACACAGTTAAAACTGCTGTGAACCTCTACTGTCCCTACCTATGATTGGCTCATGTATTTCCCACTTCAACTGTTGATTTGCTCTTTAGAGGGGTAAAACAGATTTCTATTTAGGATTCTCTATCTGCTATTTCTTCTTCATGTAATGCCACTGATGTATCTCACCTGTCTGCCAAAGAATATACTCATTTTATAAAAACTGACTACCAACAATCCCCCTCTTATCTAGGGCTTCTCCTGCATGTCAATGAGACTACATTGATGTATCTATCTTGTTTACCAAGAAAGAAACTGTGCCTCACTTGACTCCAGTTTTAGAAGTTCAAAAAAAAAAAAAAAGAGGAAGGCAGAGTAGGGCTGTGCGATATGACCAAAATCTCATATCCCGATATAAGAATTCTATCGTCCGATAACGATATAAATCACAAAAATGTAACATTTTCTGTAAATTCTGTGAATCTCGGGCAGCTCGACTTGCGGGAAGTGTTTCCAGCTGCGCGTCATGTAGCTGGAGTCGAGTGTTTTAACAGATGCATGAAACTATACATTTCTAGACATAAGTTGTAGCGGCCGCCGCTTTCTTTGTGAGTATTTATTACACGGCGTGCTGCGGAGAAAAGCCTGTTTTAACGTTTGAGTCTAAGGTTTATTTTTTAGCACCTGGCGGCTCTTTTTTACTTCTCATCCGTAAATAATCTGCTCTTTCACGTGATTCAGTTTATTTTGAAAAGTCTCAACAGGATCTTGAGCTTTATTGTGAAAGGTTTATGTGGAACATAAACAAGCGGACACGCGATGGTGTTATCGTCGTTGTTGCTAACCAAAACGCATAAAAACAGGCGCTTGTCCGTCTGTAGTGTGGTTATATTAAATATAAGAGAAAGAGAGAACTTTAAGAAATTAACATAGCCACTACAGTGACCATCAAAACGATGAAAAAAATATTGCCCTAAACAGTTTATTTTGCGACACCACGAAACAAACGATAGCGTAAAATGAAACGTTAGACGTTTTTATATCGTCATCCGATATATATCGTTATATC